TTGCAATAAAACTGCATGGAACTGGCACAAAAACAGATACAAAGACCAATGGTAAAGAATAGAAGACCTGGACATAAATGCACACAGCTACAGTCACTGTATGCTTATTGCAGCATTATTCACAATAACCAAGCTATGGAAACAGTCCAGATGTACTTACAACTGATGAATGGATTAAGAAAATCATATATATATATATAATACATAAATCACACTCACAATTACTCAGTCATAAAGAAGAATATATGTGTGCTTTTCTCAAGTTAATAGAATGGACTGGAACTTGTCTTGTTAAGGAAAGTAAGGCAGGTTCAGGTGGTATTTTCTCTCTAATATAGAAGATAGATCCAAATTCAAATACAAGCATTGTTTATACATATATACATTGCATATAAGCATTGTATATGTATATGTATATATGTACACATATACACTTAGCATGTTTCCTACACCAAAACTGTTTGGAAAGACTAGGGTAGGACGGAATGGAAACGAGAAAGACAGAGTGAATAACATTTAAACACATCACATCTTTGTAGGAACAAGACACAAAGAAATGCCCTGAAAGCTGTTGAACAGTGTGAGTTAGGAGAAAAGGTTAAGGAAGAATAATAGAAGGCATCAGACTAATTAACTAAATATATTTACAGGTAAAATACCAAAGCAAAACCCCACTGAACAATGAACAGGAATGTAAAACAAGTCATGTTAAGGTGAGGGGATTAATGAGAAGGGGAGAATAAATGGTTGATGTGTTTTCTAGACTTATATGAATATGGAACAATGAAACCTGTTGAAGACATTTTAAGAAGGGAGAGGGGAAACAGGGAGAATAATGGTTTGGAAGAACCAACCCAGTTATATCATACATAAGGAAATGCCACAAAACCTTATGTTGCAAATATTATATAATAATTATAATGTTAAAGACAAAATGGTAGCATAGATGGCATGAATTTGAACAAAGTACTTTATATGCAAATTATAAATACCACAATAAAACCCTTTTGTACAGGTGATTTACAGTAATAAATAATTTTAAGATACTTTACATTAGCCTAAGGACCTACAAATTTTTCACTGCAGAACTTTTTGTAGCAGAGATAAAATAGTAGATAGTCTACATGCTCATTGATTACTTAATTATAGCACAGGCATACTTTTTCTGTTAAATATTTTAGAACATTTTATTAGCATGTATTAGTTGTACAGGGGTTTTCATTGTGACATTCTAATATATGCTTATTATGCATCTTGGTTAGGTTCATCTCCATCACTATTCTCCTTCATCCCCCTCCCACTATTTAAAGTGATTTTAACAGGTATCAATGTTTTGCTTTCATACAACTATACAAATTACATGGATCATATTCACCCTACTTTAATCTCTTCATCCCCTCTCCCCTCCCACTATTACCCACCTCCTAACAGGATGTATTTTACTTTCTTGCTTTTCTTTGTTTAGTGTGTGTCCATTGTTCAAAAGCTGTTTGTCATAGTATTTCACCTGTGAATATATTGTACTTTAGTCATTCTAACTCTCTCTATTACTCTTTCTTAGTATTTTTCCCCTATTTCCTACTATTCAAAAGCTTTCAATGCATTATCTTATGCCCTCTTTCTATACAGATGCAATGTATTTCAATATTATTCACTCTATCATTCTCTTTTCTTCTTCCTCACCTTAGTCCCATTATTACAAATATGTTCCTCTCTCTCTCATTTTCCTGAAAATGAGTCAATTTTCTCTTCTTTATGACCAAATAATATTCTATTATATATATATATATATATAAATATATATACACAATATATCACATATTCTTAATCTGTTCATCAGTTATAGGGCATGTGGGCTGTTTCCACAGCTTTGTTTATTGTGAATAGTGCTGCAATAAGCATGGGTGTGAAAATTCTTTATTAAACCCTGCTCATTGATTGCTTAATTATAGCTATACCCATAGTTAATAGCTTTTTTAAAAATGTATTATGCAACAGTTAATAAAAGATTTGGAGACAGGTGTGGCACATGAGAGCACATTCACAATTTATCTTTGAAGAAAACCTCTCTCTGCCTTATCTTCCCCATAGTTTTGTAGAGATAGAAGTGGAAGAAACTGGAGGTATCTTTCCTTTATATATTATGTAGCATAAAGTGACATACAAATTCTTATTAAGAAAGTTGCTTTAAATATAGAAAGTTGCACAAGCAATGGTGTAGAAATGAATGGCATCTGTGCTCAGATTTTCCTTCGTGTCCATGCGCATTACTCTTCTCATCAATCTCAGTCCTGTGGGCCAGTAAGTCACTGATCTCTTCATAAACTCTAGCTGACATTATTGCAGCTATCAAATCTTTTTTTCTATGCATTTTTTACACATGCATCCCCTGTTATTATGATTAAAATTTTTAATGATCCCCTTTGTGATTTGACCATGCATACATAACTCCCTAAATCCCTAAATGTCAGTATTTCTTATGATGGCCAGTGAAATCAAGGTACATGGCCTAGCTTATTTATCTTTTTGGTTCTATAAAGTCTAGGATGACACTTTAGTGTTAGCATGTCAGGAACCCGTGATTGCAGGACTTTAGAATTTACCTTCTTCAGACAAAGGTAAGTCCCTTGACGTAAGGGTTGTCACACTGTAAACCTTTCTTCATGTTCCTATCATCAGCGCTCAGCACTCACTTTCAGGATCAGCATTTAAGCTCACGGTGGTCTTTTTCAGTACTACATCATATTACTTTTGCAGTATTGTATTAACTATGTAAATCAAACTGCCTTTTAAAAACGGTTTTAGAGATATATGGTTTGTCAAATTTAGTTTACTGGTATTGGGAAGAATAGTATTTTCTTCAGCAAAGTTTAGCAATAAGTATTCATTATTTTGATAATCAGAAAAATGAAGCATAGTAAATCCACCAATATAAATTTGGTTTTAATAATACCTGATGTTATTTGATGTCAGACTTAAACGTTACTATTCTCCAAACAAGTTACATGATTATAATGGAGTGGAGTTTCTAAATAAAAATTAGGTAAACTGTTAACAAATAAAAAAGTTGCAGAAAGAGATACAAAGGCCTAAAAATATTCATATATATGAGTATATATCATATATCCACATATATGAACTATTCATGTAAAAATGACATATTAACACATTAACAGTCACAGACATTTTATATATTTATCATAAAGAAATTTTAGCTCATTGTAGGAAATTATAAACTGTACAAAGAAAATCCTAATTTTCAAGGTCAACTTCTTTATTTTGTTACTGTGAGTTAATCTAGATTCTTACAAGTTTAAATTTCTAATTATAGATTTTATCATTTTTAAACCTAGTTTTTCATTCTATTTTTTCTTTATTATATAAACATTTTCTTAGGTTAACAAATCTTTTCTACAAACATCATTTTAACAAAATAATATATAAATATTGGGGTTTTGTTGCATATAATTTCTTAACTTTTCAATTGTTAGCATTTAATTAATGTACATACTTAGTTTGATTGAGGTGCGTGCATGTTTTATTATTTCATTTGAACTATACTTATGTAGTTAAAATTTTTTTTAAACTTTCCTTGCTGTCTATTTGCCTAACTGTAAAATGCATTGCTTATAAATTTAAAGGAGGCATAGACTATGATAAGATGAAGAAATTCTTCAATAGCTTAACTGTAAATTATTATATGTTAGCTATGCAAAATGTTCTGTGTGTGGAAGAACTGAGCTGAGTCAATAGCAGTTATCATGAGCCACACAGTTTCCTAAGGATGGTCACCCATTGCAGTTAATTCAGTAGGATCTTCCAGTAATTTCTTCCTAAATGAGTAAAATGCATACACATGCAGGCACACACTCACCCACACCAAACTTCTGATTTGTTTTAATCTCAAAGAAATATTTTCTTTTTACACAATTTGATACATAGTCAAAAGGAAGAGTCATTTGAATGCATGCATCTTATGATTTTATTTAGATCTTTATAAGCATGATTTGTTTCCACAAGAATGAGTTATAAATATAAATATATTATAGATAATAATAAACTGAAGAGAAATATATTATAGGTAATAATAAGCTTGCCAATAATTCAGACAACATAGGCAGAGGTCAATGAATTAGCAGTAAGACCAAAATGGACTATGATCCTTTATTGTCATTTGGAGAGATTAGATTCCTAGAAGAGTTATCTTGGTAGAAAAGAGGACAGGGATTTCCTTTTCCCAAATAAATCTTCTACAGATTGTAAGGCCCATTCATTGGAATTTTTCTTTTGTTTTCTGGGGTTTGAACTTGGGTCTTTGCACTTGATAAGCAGATACTCTATCACTCGAGCCACCCCCTCAGCCCCTTTTCACTTTAGTTATTTTTCAGGTAGGAGCTTTTATTTTTGCCTTATGCCTCCCATGTAGCTGAGATTATAGGTATGCACCACCTTGCCAGCTGCTTTGTTTCATTAATGTTTTGCCCAGGCTTGTCTCAAACCACAATACTCCTGATCTTTACCTCCTGTGTAGCTGGGATTACAGTTGTGAGCCAGTGTGCTTGGCTCTGTTCACTGAGACCTTAAACACTACCTTGTTACTGTATTTTTTTCATAAAGATTTTTATTTACAATACTAATATCTCAGAGTAGTTTGACATGTTCTTGAGACTGACAGTGGAACATGAGAAACAACGCACTGCTTGAAACAAGATGGCAATGCCATCCAATTAAAGGTAAGGACTATGTTATAGGTTACCTTATGCTCCCATAAGTTTGGTAACTTCATTATTATTCCAAGGTTGAAGTGGTTGGAGAATTATATATTTTTATCAGTTAAGGAGAAAATAATTTCATCAATCTAATCAGTACAATTGTATTTTACAAGAAAATATTTCCTTTGACATTATTAGACTGTTGTATTTGATGTGATATAATCATCTATTTTTAATGTTATTGATGTTCAATTGTTTAATGTTTTGGTCTAGGTAGAACCAAGTCAAATGGATGAAAACCAAACAGAAGGGGTGGAAAAATTTCATCTGGCAGGCTTCTCACAGGCATCATCTATTGAGGCAGAGCTATTTGTGTTATTTCTTTTCTTCTATGTATTCACTTGGGTAGGCAATGTCATCATCATGGTCACAGTGGCTTCTGATAACAACTTAAATTCATTGCCTATGTATTTCCTTCTTGGCAATCTCTCATTCCTGGACCTATGTTATTCAACAGTAACTACCCCTAAACTTCTTGCTGACTTCCTTGATAATGAAAAACTCATTCCCTATAACCATTGTATTGTACAGCTCTTCTTCCTTCATTTTGTAGGGGCAGCTGAAATGTTCCTGCTCACTGTGATGGCTTATGACCGCTATGTTGCAATCTGCCGCCCACTGTATTATACCACCATCATGAGTCGGGGCCTGTGCTGTAGGTTGGTAGCTGCCTCATGGATGGGAGGATTTGTGCATTCCACTGTCCAGACTATTCTCACTATCCGTCTGCCCTTTTGTGGGCCAAACCATGTGGACAATTTCTTTTGTGATGTTCCTCCTGTCATCAAACTTGCCTGTGCGGACACCTTTGTCATTGAACTGCTCATGGTATCTAACAGTGGGTTGATATCTACCAGTTCCTTTGTGGTACTGGTTTCTTCTTATGCCACTATCCTGGTTAAGATTCGCTCTAAGGAAGGCAGGCTTAAGGCACTCTCCATCTGTGCTTCCCACCTCATGGTGGTGACACTCTTTTTTGGACCCTGCATTTTCATCTATGCTCGTCCTTTCTCCACCTTTTCTGTGGACAAGATGGTGTCTGTGCTTTATAATGTTATAACCCCCATGCTAAACCCCCTCATTTACACACTGAGAAATAAAGAAGTCAAATCAGCCATGAGGAAGCTGTGGGGCAAGAGTGGGCTTTGGAAAAAGCAGAAGACATGAGAAACTGGAGTGAGTTTTTGAGATCAGAGAATACGAGGTTATAAAAATTATTTTGAGTAATAAATCAGTAGGTCACAGTTTGCTTATTTAATCATCTTCCATTAAGGTACAACATCCATATTTCTGGATTTATAGTTAAATTATGCACTATAGTGGAATTGTTTTGTCTTCTGATTTCTTAACTGAAGCATGTCTGGTTTTTATTTTTTATTTTTGCAGTACTGGGGCTTGATTCACACTTGCTAGGCAGGTGTTCTACCACTTGAATCACTTCACTAGCTCAAGTCTTCTTTTGTTTTTATCAGTTTATGTTCTGCCATTTTATCTATTCATCCAATCAAATTATATTCCTCTGCTCTTTTTTTCAGTGGGTCTCTATAGACTGGCACAATGTGCTCTTTCCCAGCTCTCATCAGCTTCTTCTCTACCTTGACCTAGGTTTTATTTTGCTTTCAATTTTAATTTACTTTAACTAGATATCTACAATCAACTGAATAAGGACTTATGTGTATTTTACACTAAATACACATAAAGATAAATATGAATTGGATGAATTATATTTATATGATTTTATCATAAGCTAATGGAATATACATATGTCAGTTTCTTTGCCTTATGACACCACTAATTGTTATCTTGTTGGGTAACCGAGAGACCATTTAGCTAATATTGCGCATTAAAACACTCTTCTATGAATTATAAACCAGGTGGATTTGGACAAATCCTTTAAACTACTGTAACCCTAATTTCTTCATCTGTTGCATAACTAAAATGATGTCTACATCTCAGTGCTGTTCTGAGAATGAAAAAAGGCAATATACATGAATGTGTCTAATTTAGTGTCTGGCTCATGTAGGGTTCAGCAATCACTTATTCATTAAAGTTTATTGTTTTTAATGACAGAAAAACAGATAATGAATTTCAACATTAATGTAATGAGCTTAACATCATTTGATATGTAGTCCCTAGTTTGTGGAAGATATGTGAAAGTAAGTTCATGGTAGTTTCACCACAGTTTGTATTACTGTCAATACTTGTATCCTTAGAATTATATTTAGCCTAGCTCACAGACCTGCTTACTGCTCACCCAGTCTCTATAATAAAAGACAGGAAAATTAAATGGAAGTTTAGAACAAACTTGACACAAATGCAAACATGAATCTAAATTACAAATGAACTTGAAGTATTTTAAATTTTATATCATTTTTAGTTAGTGGATAATAAAAAGTGCAATTTCAGTCACTAATTTGTGTGATGACCTGAGACAGAAGCCAAGAATATTTGGTAAATTCATTGAAAACTAAGAATTTTATCTTTATTATCTTTATATCCTCAAAGCTTACTAAAATGCCTAAAATAAAATGAATGAAACAGAGATTGAAAAATGTGTTGAATAAATACAGTCTTTTATATCTTCTTTGATCAATGTGTTTTGACTAGGCAAGAATAATTTCAAATAATTTATTTGTAAATTTTACATTGAGACATCAGAAACACTTTGAGAGATACTGCAGAAGCAAGAATATATCAAATTTTAAAAACAGACACCAAAGCAATTATGTAACACCACTATCATCAGAGAATTCAGATAGGTATTTCAATATTGAGCAGATAATTAAGTATTCTAATTCATAAGAGAAGCAACTATAAATAATGTAACTTTGTGTATAGAAAGTTAAGATGGAATCAAATTTAATTTGAATTCAATTAGTACTTTTTTATTGTTATGCTGGGTAGGGTACATTGTGGTATTTACAAAAGTTTTTATGAAGTATCAAATATATCATACTTAAATGCACCCCCTCCACTATTCTCCTTCCTACCCACCTCCCCCTATTCTTAGAATGGTTTCAACAGGTGTCATTTTTATGTTTACATACATGTACACACCTTATTTGTGCTATATTCACCCTCCTTCACAAATTGTGCTACAAACACAGAGGTAACTGAGGATCATACTTAGGCAGATTTGAGACAATGATAAGCATGTAATCTAGTAGATTTTATAATAAGTATTAATATATAGAGGTCTTCTATCATGGCTAGGATTTCCCACTAATCAAAGATGAGAGGGAAAAGTGGTTTTTACAAGTTAAAAACTGTTCAACATTTTGGAGTAGAAGATAAAAAGTGCATCTGCCAAAATTACTTTTTATGGAAAAGCAAGACAAACATTATTTATAATTTATTCACTTGTTTACTATTAGGAAATTTTAAACAAAGTGTAAAAAAACAGATGTAACTTTACAATCTATAGGATAATTTAGAATACATATGTAAATATGAGTATAAATTAAGCATTTGGAGAATAGTCATCACAAAAGACATTCAAAGGGATTATTTCTGTGTATGAAACAAATACTCAGAAAATTTTAACATTGCTAGCAATTTAAATAGCCCCCAAAAAAATCCTTTTGAAAGGCTGCTTTCATTTACAACATAAAGTAAATGGCAATTTATATAAAGACTACTGAGAGAAAAAATTAAAGTCTCTTCTATAACAACTATATTTCAATAGAAAATTAAGATGAATAACTAACAAAAGAATAAAAAAACTGTATTAATATCATATGTATTCAGAGACAAGAAAATTACTATAGACAGAATCAAACACATAATGATAAATGAGACAGTGAGGTAAGAAGGTATAGGTATAGCAATCATAGATGTGTAGATACCGAATAAAAGAGCTGTAGTATATGTGAAAGAAAAATTGGTAGGACTGAAAGAAGGTGAAAAATTTCAGTCATAGAGCTTTCAACCCTCTTATCAATAACTGAGAGAATGAGACAAATTCTTTACTACATAGAAAAATTAAACAATACCATCAAAAACAGGACCTGAGAGTTGTTGAAGACTCTACAGCAGAATACACATTCTTTCCAAACGCCAACAGAACATGTACCAAGAAGGATCAGATTCTGAACCATAAGGGCATGTTAAAGAATTTAATAAATTGAAATCTGGCATGAGTCGCTCATACTAGAAATTACCTAGATTGACAGTGCATGGTACATACATCCATCTTCATTGATCAGGTGGTAGCAAGGTGGAGAGTGAAACAGAGATTAGAAATGGAGTATGAGTCATTAGGTAGTTATGGGAAGCCAGAAACATCATAAGGGATCTGGCTTTTATTTGGGCACTTCTTATGTATTTGGCCCTATGCTAAACACATGCAAACACACACAATATGTCAATCTTTACATGTTATTTTAATATGATTTAACATACTTAAAATACTGACACGTTTCTATCTATCTATCTATCTATCTATCTATCTATCTATCTATATAGTGATAATTTAATTAAACAAAGTTCTAGAAAGTTAAAGAAAAATTGTACAAAAAAGTGAGCTCTTTCTTTTAGGTTTGGGTTGTTTTTCTTTCTTTCTTTCTTTCTTTCTTTCTTTCTTTCTTTCTTTCTTTCTTTCTTTCTTTCTTTCTTCTTTCTCTCTCTCTTTATTCCTCTCTCTTTCTTTCTCTCTCTCTCTGTCTCTGTCTTTCTTTCTTCCTTCCCCTTATTTCCTTCCCTCCTTTCTTCCTTCTTTCTTTCCCCCCTCATTCCTTTCTCTATGTCTTTCTCTTTCTTTTTCTGTGTTACCTTGAAACATTTTTATTAGCTTCTCATCATCATCTGGAAAGAAAACATATAGAGAAACATCATTAAAAACAACTCTCACAAAGCATGGTCACTACTATGTATCAAAGCAGGTACAAGATATTTTACAGTCACAGATGTATGATGCAGTACTGTCCTAATATTTATGATATTAGAGGATGCAATTTAAAAGGTGCTATTTGAAGCTTGATTTTACTTTTCCAGCAGAGGGCCCAAATGTTCCCCTCTGCCATATTGGACTATGATTATGACATGAAAATTCCTCTTCATATAAATTTTTGCCTATTTATTTATAGTTGTGGAAGGTTGCTTAGGTCTAGTAATTTGACTAGTAATTTGACTAGTACTTAAATCAGGATAGTTGGCCACCTTAGACTGGACCTTAAGAGAAATATTGTTTTCTGTTAACTTTGCAGCTGGTCTCTTCTCTGGTTTGATTTTGAGTTTTTTCAGTCTTGGGTGATTTATTACTGTTTCAGTCCTAGACATTTTTTTTTCTAGAAGCAACATGGTGGGCTGGATAAATCATGACACATAGAGCCATGCAAGTTGGATTTGAATACTGGCTGTGCTATGAGACCTCAGGCTAGTTTCTTGGCTACTCCAGACCTAGTTATCTTACCTAAAAAATGAGGACAACACAGCCCCTCATCAGATAATTATTATCATTATTAGTGAGAATCAGATGAGATTTTGTTTTATTTTTCTTTTTGAGACATGATCTCATTACATAGTGAAGGATGGTCTTGAACTTGCTCTGTAGCCCAGGCTTACCTTGATCTCTCAATTTTCCATTCTCCTGAGTGCTGAGATTATAGATGTATACTTCCATGTCTGACTCAGAATGCATTTTGTGTATGAATTTATCTAGCTTAGGTCTTGACACATACTTAGTCCATTTCCTTTGTAGTGAATGGAGCCAAAGACATGAACAGTAGACTCCCATTTGTGATGTTAAGAATTTAAGGGATATGGATTTCCATTTATTTCTTTTGACACACTTTTAGATTGTATTTATAAGCATCTCAATATACAGTCTCTACATAGGTCGCAATTTTTCTGTGCTGTCTTCCAGATTCTGTTTTAGAGTTCAACAGAGAAACAGAACAATAGGATAAATATACATAAAATATGCATAAGGATATTTGTTAGGGGAATAAGCTCACACAATTATGGAGGCCAAAAATTCCCATATTCTGCCATTCACAAGCTAGGAACCAAGCCAAGTCCAAAGGCCTGAGATTATGTGGTCATTATCTTAAGTCCCATTTCCAGGCTGAAAGCCCAAGATCTTGGAGCACTTATGTCCAAGTTAGAGGTTCCAGCTCAAGCAGAGAAGGTGAATTTGCCCTTCTTCCACTTTGTTCTATTCTGGCCCTCAAAAGATTGTATGATGCTGCCTACACTGGTGAGGGTGATCTTTACTTTGTCTACTGACTTGAATGCTATCCTCTTTTGGAAACTCCCTCCTTGACACACCCAGAAATACTGTTTTACCAGCTAACTGCCCATCCTTTAGCCCAGACTGTTAGCCCACGAAATCAACCATCACAGATTCTGTCTGTACTTTTCTAGTGTAAACTTAATTTAATACATATAATCTTAGATTTGTCCATTGAATTGAGCACCCAAGGAACAGTGATTCAATCTAGTGCCAAGACTTTGGTTTCCAAATACCATTCACTACTGAGAAGAATCAGGACTCTTTTGAGAAACATCTGCTTCCAGCTCTAGAGGAATAAAAAGTGAAAAGTAAGGCTGCTAAAGAAGATCTCAAAGACTAAGGGGGCATGTTAAAAGGATACAGGGGCTCCCTGACCACTCTTGGAAGTTCCAAATGATTGTAATTCACTCATCAACTAAAAAGCTGCAGTGATGTGAGTGGAAGAGAGGGAGAGATTGAGAAACAAAGCATAAGTAAAGTAAAAAAAGAAAAGAAAATCTCTTCTTCATGGATTATTAGCTAATAAATATGGAAGGAAGCTGGGCATGATTGTACATGTTTGTAATCCCAACATTTGGGAGCCTGAAGCAGGAGGATTTAGTTCCAGACCACTCTAAAATAACATAGTGAGTCATTATCTCAATTTAAAAAAGAAGGTGATATAATTGAAATCCCCCCAAAAAATAATAATTTGTTTTTAAATAGTGTATTTAAATTAATGGGTACTAAAACCATTAGTTGAAAGATTTTGGAATCAAGGAAATACTTGGTTAATGCTAAGCCAATAGGTCACTCTAGTCACAACAGGGGAAAACTTTCCTTTTTTTTTATTGTACTGGGGATGCATTGTGATATTTACAAAAGTTCTTACAATATATTATAGTTGAATACACCCCCTCCATCATTCTCCTTTGTCTCCCATCCCCCCATTCCTAGAATAGTTTCAACAGTCTCATTTTTCCATTTACATCCTTCATATCAATTTTGAGCAAGATTATTTAGTAAGATAATTCAGGGTTTTATAAAGAAGGAAATTGTAGAATTAATTCCAAAATGTGTGGAGTTGAGGATAATGTTTATGTATTTGTATATTCAAAATAAAACTATAACTTTTGTTATAGTTTTTGTTATTGTAACATAACACACTATAAGTTACACAAAGATAATGTTTGAAGGAATTCTCTGGGCAGAATCATACTTAAAACGTATGTCCTCTGAATGAGTAGTTACTGTGGAAATCTGGAATTCAGTGAAAAGTCACATGTCTGTTCCACAGTTTCTTCATAGCTGCTTTCATTTCTTCATTTCTCAATGTATAGATGATGGGGTTCAAGAGTGGAGTCAAAATAGTGTAAAACACAGACAGGAGCTTGTCTACAGAGAACCTGCTGAAAGGCCACAAGTAAATGAAAATGCATGGCCCAAAGAACAGCGTGACTACCATGACATGTGCAGAACAAGTGGAGAGTGCTTTAGTTACTCCACCTGCAGCCCACCGGTGGACAGTCACAAGAATGACAGCATAGGAGACCATAAGGAGCAGAAAGCAGCTCACAGAAATCAGTCCACTGTCTGCCATCATAAATAAACCCAAGATGTAGGTGTCCATGCAGGCAAGTTCAACCACTAGAGGAAGATCACAGAAGAAGCTGTCCACCTCGTTTGGGCCACAGTAAGGTAAATTCACAGTGAAGGCTAATTGACTGATGGAGTGCAGAAATCCAATGACCCATGAAACCAAAACCAGCTTGATGCAAGTCTTCCGGCTCATCATTGTCATATAATTCAAAGGTTTGCATATAGCTACATATCTGTCATAGGCCATGGTAACCAACAGCACCATCTCAGCCCCACCAGTAAAGTGCAAGAGAAAGATCTGAACCATGCATCCCCCAAAGGAGAGGAGTTTTTGATCACTAAGGAAATCCATAATCATCTTTGGGGTAGCAAATGAAGCCAGCCACATGTCTAGGAAAGACAGGTTCCCAAGCAGAAAGTACATTGGTGAGGAGTTCAAGTGGTGAGAAGAAATTACAGCTATGATAATGAGGAGGTTTCCCAAAATAATGGACACATAAATCCCAGAGAAAAATACAAAGAAAAAAATTTGTAGGTATTGTGAAGAGCAGAGCCCATGTAACACAAATTCTGACACCACAGAATAATTCTGCAGGTCCATTTTCTCAGGCTTCAGATTCTGTTCTGAACCTATATAGAGAAAAAAATTTCCATTGTTTGTGTTAAGATGGGTGAACCTGGAAGATGTAATGCTAAGTGAAATTAGCCAGGCACAGAAAAGTAAATATTGCATGAAGTTGCTAATATGCAGAATATAAAAACATTGAATTAATACAAAGAGAGAGTAAATGAGTAACTAGAGGCAGAGAGGGTGGGAGAATTGGGGCAAAGTTGGTTAATGGGCACAATGTTTCAATTAAATAAGAGGAATACATTGAATACACCTATTGTAATCAACTGTTATGATTATAGCTAATAGCAATATAATTTATTCTTGAAAATTGCTAAGATAGTAGGTTTTAAAACTGATAGCTATGTGAGGTAATACATATGTTAAGTAGCTTGATTTATCCATTCTTCAATGTATACATATATGAAAGCATCATGTGGTATATAGTATAATTGCTGTCAATTTAAAGAGGAGGAAAGGAAGAAATGAATAAAAGAAGGGTGGAATGAGTAACAAAGGAAAGAGTGAAAAAGGGAAGAAAGAAACAAGGGAAGATGTAAGTGGAAGTTCCTATAAACTGCCAGACACATTAAACTGATCAAATAGGTATTACCTGAGTTTAATGTGTAGTGTATAAGAGGTACTCTACAACTGAATGTATGGAATATTATGAATGAGTCCAAAGTAACATATGTAATTTCCATTACAGAGTTCAGTGTTTTCTTAGGAGTAACTGAACATTTTGGAAGTTTTCAGAGTTGATGACAATTATAAGAACATTCTTCCCTGTTATTGGCCTTTGTCTATGGGAAAATAGAAAGCAATGCAGTGCAGAGCGTGAACTCAAAATCATTATGAGGATTGAAAATATAAGATTTTGTGATACCACACCTTTTTTATTTTTATTTTTTGAACTCAGGGCTTCACACTTGCAAAGCAGGCAGGCACTCCACTCTTGGAGCCACACCAAACACCTGATGGAGAAAAGACAGGATCTTCAACAAATGTTCTGAGAAAAGTGGTTATCTACCTGCAGAAAACTGAAACTAGATCCATACCTATCACCCTGCACTAGTATCAACTCAAAGTATATTAAGGACCTTAGTATAAGACGTGAAACCTTAGGGTTAGTACAGAAAAGAGCAGGGAATGCTCTAGAAGCAATAGGTATAGGCAAGGACTTCCTCAGTAGAACACAAGCAGCCCAGCAACTAAGAGGAAGGATGGACAAATGGGATTACACAAAATTAAGAAGCTTCTTAATAATGAAAGAAATGCTCTCTAAATTGAAGAGAACACCCACAGAGTGGGAGAAAAATCTTTGCTAGCTGTATAAGAGACAAAGGACTGATAACTAGAATAAACAGGGAGCTCAAAAAAACTAAATTCCCCAAAAGTCAATGAACCAATAAAGAAGTAGGCAACTGAACTAAACAGAATGTTTTGAAAGGAAGAAGTCCAATTGGCTAAAAAAAAAAACACCTGAAAAAATGCTCACCATCCCTGGCCATAAAGGAAAGGCAAATCAAAACCATACTAACATTCTACCTCACTCCTGTTAGAAATGCTACCATCAAGAACACCACCAACAACAAATGTTGGCCAAGATGGCGTGGGGGGAAGGAGCCCTCATACACTGCTGGTGGGAATGTAAGCTAGTACAACCACTTTGGAAAACAATATGGAGGCTTTTTAAAAAACTAAACATAGATTTACTATACAATCCAGCAATCCCACTCCTGGGGATATACCTAAAGGAATGTGACTGAGGTTATTACAAAGGCACACGCATACTCATGTTTATTGCAGCATTATACAAATAGCTAATCTATAGAAATAGCCAAGATGCTCCACAACTGACAAATGGATTAAGAAAATGTGGTATTTATACACAATGGAATTTTATTGAGACACAATGAAAAATGAAATTTTTTTCATTTGCAAGTAAATGGATGAAACTGGAGAACATCACCTTAAGCAAAGTTAGTCAGGCTCAGAAGGCCAAAAAGCACATGTTCTCCCTCATATGTGGATTATAGAACTGAAACAAATGGAGTAGTGTTATTGGACATGGGACATATGAAGGAGAGAACGCACATGGGAGGAATAGGGAAAGGGAAGGAAACTGAAAACTTGAATGTGGTTGATGTGCTCACTGTAAAGGAACAAATATAGTAATCTTAAACTGGCAGAGGGGACCAGGAAGCATTGAAGAGGTCTGGTAGAGATGAACCAGTGTGTGTTGTAATATACATGTGCATGGAAACAACAGTAAATATCTCTCTGTATAGCCATTTTTATCTCAAACTAGCAAAAATGCTGTTTTTCTTATTATCTCTTATGCTTTCTCTCCAACAAAATAGAGAACAAGAAGGCAGAATAAGTTCTGCCCAGAAGTTGGGTGGGGGAGGCCCATGTAAGTAAATTGAAAAATGATAAAATAAAAACAAGAATAAAAAAAGTTTTTCTGAGTAGCATTATGTTTTAACCATCAGCATAGATACCATTTTCCAGTGGGTCATTATTCTTAAGTGTCTGGTCTAAAAACTGAAATGAAAACTTAATTTAAGAATAATATTCATGTGGAACACAGAAAAATCACATACATATTTTCACAATTTTCTTCCTCCTCTTCTTCCGCTGTTTGCATACATAAAAACAAAACAAAATCAAGCAAATGCATTTTGCTGGGTAACTCTATCTTCTTATCTAAACAACAATCATACATCATTCCTGAAGCAAAGAGAACAGTTGATGACAAAGTTTAAAGAAGAAAGATTCTTTTAAGCTAAAAAAGCATGCAGGGGATGCAAAAGCCTATTAAGGCTAATGTTTAAATACAGGATCACTCTTAGACTTTGAACCTGTTAGAGTGAACACAAAGAATCCATGTTAGGATTGGACACCCCACCCTTGCAGGCTGCTTACTGATACCCCACCAACCACTGGAAGGACCACATCGGGGGTCTTGAGTTGAGCAACTGTCTACCTAATTACCACTTGTGTCCTCTAGTTTCCTCTAGTGATGGTTGACTAGTGGTCCACTTCAAAAGAATTTTCTCACCCAGCAGGGTTTCCCTGCCAGACTTCTCCCCTGTATCTACTCCAAGTCTGTAAACAGCTGTGGGCTCTATCTGTCTTACTGGGGTCTCCTTCTGCAGGGGTCCTTTCCAAATGATAAACCCTGTGCTGGTACTTGAGCCATCTCTCTGCCATTTCCATGCCTCTTTCATGTCTAACAGAACCCAAGTTCTGGCTGCTGTTTAGTAACATTATGGGAATGTCATAATTGTGTAGTATGTGAGATATAAAATGGCAATTATACTTTGAGATAATTTTTTTCAAGGACAGGTTAATGGAAATGATACCACAGTTACATAAAGATTTTTTTAATGTATTTTTGTTTTCTTTCCTTTTAATATTAAAATGTTATGAAGTTTTATTCTAAAATATTGCACTATGCTATCAGGGAGGGAAGCAAAATAAATAAATAAATAAAAAACCACCACCCTGTTTTCTACCCTGCTTTTCATCAACAAACTGGATATAATATAATTAGTGAATGTATAGATAACACAAATTTGGCAGACTTTAAGTATAGAATGTTTTAGAAATGGAAAATAAGAATTGCAGTCAAATCCAGAGAAAGCAAGAATGAAAGTGGGAAAGAGGGACTGGGAGAGGGAGAGGGAGAAAGTAGAAAAATTTATTAGGCTAACAGATATATTATTTACTTATTTCTTTGCAAATGATGTTTCTTCTATGTTTTATAAACTTAATGAGAATATAGTTTTAGTTTTATCATCTATATATAAGGAAAATATTAAAAAAAAACATTGTGGTATATTTTGTAATATTTCTGATTAAACGCAAAAAAGAAGGAAGATGTGGTTCAGGACATTTTCTATTTTCTTGTGAATTAAAGGTCAGTTCAAGACCTTGCTTTCTAAAGACCACTAAGAGTTGAGCTTTCTCCTATGTTAACATATCTTCGATTCTTTCTTTTTAATTTTCTTACATCACTTTATTAAGGTATAATTTTCTTTTTTTATTCATATGTGCATACAATGTTTGTGTCATTTCTCCCCCCTCCCCCCACCCTCTCCCTTACTCCCTCTCCCCTCTCTCTCCCCTACAACCCCTCACTACCTGGCAGAAACTATTTTGCCCTTATCTCTAATTTTGTTGTAGAGAGAGTATAAGCAATAATAGGAAGGACCAAGGGATTTTGCTAGTTGAGATAAGGATAGCTATACAGGGAGTTGACATGCATTGATTTCCTGTGCATGTGTGTTACCTTCTAGGTTAATTCTTCTTGAACTAACCTTTTCTCTAGTTCCTGGTCTCCTTCTCCTATTGGCCTCAGTTGCTTTAAAGTGTCTATTTTAGTTTCTCTGTGTTGAGGGTAACAAATGCTATTTAGTTTTTTAGGTGTTTTACCTATCCTCATACTCCCTTGTATCACTTTTATCATGTGATCAAAGTTAAGGTATAATTTTCTGACCATAGAATTCACTAACTTGAAACTCAATTATTTTTTTTTTGTAATTTTATCAAATATGAAGCTATCTACTTAAATGCTTGATTTGAGGTTTTCAAAAAATCAGTTCCTCTTAGAACTTCTGTCAATACTCAGGCTTGTCTTCCTTGCTTGTTTTTTCACTTTCAAACTCACTGAATTCACACCTTATCTAGGTAATGTTAGTAGCACTGCTTACTATCTCACTTCATTGTAGAAAATAATCAATACATGGGGAAAGAAACAAATTAACCCAAGTTAATACAATTCGTCAGCACGCAAATTTTTATTGTTGTTCATTTTGCTTCAATGATTAAGTTTCAAGTTAAAAGTCATTTGTCTCATTTGTTTATAGATTTGCCATTCATAAGTTGACTACCTCTAAGAGGAATTTATGATTACTTTCAATAAAAGAGATGTTTTTTAGGACATTTCAATAAGCATCAGAATAAAAAAATCTACAAAATGATGGTTA